CTGAGCCAGACCGGCCAGGGCTGCTCTCTCTGTATAGGATGAGGTCTCTGTGTCCCAGTCCAACAGCTCTGAATTCACTGAAAGAGAAATCCCGTTGCCCCAGGTTTTTTTATCCACAGGCGTTGGGTGTGAGTGTGGCAAGGGTATTTTTAGGTAGCATGCAGAGAACCATTATGGCCTCCCCTTGGTCCACCCTGGACGGTGATGGGGGGCTTGGTGAGAAGTGGACTCAGGCGCGTGGTCATGGTTATGGATCTAGGACCATATCTGCCCGACAAGACAACCTAGGTGAACACATCAAGTGACTCGCTCCTTAGGTTCCTGTTTGCTGTTGCCCTGCAGACAGCCTGGCCTGCATTTGCTCTCAGGGGAGAGAGAGGCACCGTGTCCAGGGATGATCAGGCCAGAATCCTGAGTTTTTATTTTATTTTATTTTTTCATTTTTCTTCAGATAGAGCGAGAGGGGGAAAGAGAGTGAGAGAAACATCGACTGGTCACCACCCACACGACCCCACCTGGGGCCTGGGACAAACTGCAACCAAGGTACATACCTTAGTGGGGACTGAACCCAGGACTCTCTGGTCCGCAGGCTGACGCTCCAACCATGGAGCCAAACTGGCCAGGGCTCTTTTTTTTTTTCCTCTTTCTTTTTTCTCCCCCAATTTTTATAATTTATTTTTGTTATAGATGTGTCTTCCTTTTCCCCCCTAGACACCCTCCTCCCCATTCTGTTCCCCCACCCCCCGTAGCATTGTTGTCCATGTCCATTGGTTATGCACACGTGCATATAAGTTACTTGTTTCATCTCATACCCCTCCTCCCCCCTGGAGGGTTTGTCAGTCTGAATTATACTCCTTTCTAGGTCTCTGGGTCTTTTTATGTTCATCAGCCCACCTTGTTCATTATATTTCACAAATGAGTGAGATCATGTGGTATTTGTCTTTCTCTGATTGACTTATTTCACTTAGCATAATGCTCTCCAGGGCCTTCCATGTCGTCTCAAAGGGTAAGAGATCTTTCTTTCTTAGAGTTGCGTAGTACTCCATTGTGTAAATGTACCACAGCTTTTTCATCTACTAATTTACTAATGGACACTTGGGCTGTTTCCAGATCTTAGCTATTGTAAATAGTGCTGCTACGAACATGGGGGTACATATATTCTTTCTGATTGGTGTTTCATGCTTCTTAGGGTATATTCCTAGAAGTGGGATCACTGGGTCAAATGGCAGATCAATTTTTAACTTTTAGAGGTAACACCATAGTGTTTTCCGTAGTGGTTGCACCAGTCTGCAATCCCACCAGCAGTGTACTAGGGTCCCCTTTTCTCCACACCCTCGCCAGCACTTGTTGTTTGATGATATGTTGATGGCGGCCATTCTGACAGGTGTGAGGTGATACCTCATTGTTGTTTTAATTTGCATCTCTCTGATGAATAGTGATGTTGAGCATTTCTTCATATGTCTCTTGGCCATTTGTATGTCCTGTTTGGAGAGGTGTCTATTCAGCTCCTCTGCCCATTTTTTAGTTGGGTTCTTTGTCTTCCTTTTGTTGAGTTGTATGAGCACTCTATATATTTTGGAAATTAACCCCTTATCTGATGTATCATTAGCAGTTATGCTCTCCCACAGAGTGGGTTCCCTTTCCCAGAATCCTGACTGTTTAAAGTGGGTCTGTGTAACCTCATGCCTCTTCACTTTCATCCTGAGTACGATCCAGGATGCGGCTGAGGAGATGGTCTCTGGCTGTGCTTCATTCATTGACCAGATTGTTCCACCAGGGTGTGTGGGGGACGGGGAAGGGGATGTGCAGCTAGTGTTATGAGCTGAATTTTGAGGAGACTGTTTGGATGCTTGATGATACCGGCCTCCTGTGGATAGTGGGGAGTATGGAATGTTGGCCCATTGAGGGGTGACCTTCTTGACCAAAGATGACGTTTGTCACTGGGCTGTCAGTGGTCTGGAACACTAAAACATGTCATGGACTCACTTCAAGGGTCACAGCAGTGTGACAAGGGTTGGCACTCAGATTGCAGCAGCAACATTGCAGCTAGAATAGTTTCCACAGTGACGAGTCACCACTGATTCAGTGGTCAGCGGTCTGATGTTGTCCCCTGGTGTGATGTGGACGAGCTTTTGGCAGGAGTCACTGTGGACCTGCAGCGTGGTGGCTTCCACATCAGAAGGTTACAGTCTTTGATCTGTAGTCTGTCGTTTTTCAGATGGAGACAAGTTGATTTGGTCATTGGTAAAAGCCCAAGAGTTAGAAAAGTATGAAATGTCTACCCTTTAAGAACATCGTCGAAGGCAAGCGTCACAGCTCTCATTTTACTCCGCTGTGCTGACTGGCACTTGGTCTTCCAGAGCTGTGGGTCTGGATGGCTGCTGCCGCCCTGTGGACACCACCTCCTGTTACCTTGGCTGAGCCTACTGGACCAGTGCTGTTACAGGGGCAGGGGGCAGAGGCTACCCTGAAGGGTGGTTGCACTTCTTCATGCAGAGCCAGGGTGGCCCTAGGGCTGGGCCGCTGCCCCGGAACACTCTGTCCACTGGTCAGGAGCCCTGGTGGGCCCTTGGTGTCAGTGGTTTGCTCTCGGTCAGGGCTCAGCAGTAGGGCAGGAACCACGTCCCCTTTACGAAAGGAGTGCCCCTGGCCTGTGCCGAGCACTGCTGCCCTCACTCTGCCCAGTGGCCACACCTCTTCAGCGCCACCCCAGTGGCTTTATTCTGGGAGCCAGGAAGGGGATGGGATGGGACTCACCTGCCAACCTGCGACATTTCCCGAGTGGGAGAATCTTGAGCATTTCCAGTGCGAGCACGTCCTATCAGTGCCAGCTGCAGAGCACAGCAGTGTGCCGGATAGGCTGAGGGCCCACCCGCAGGACCGCTTCCCTTTTCCCTTCCCTTTCCCGCTGCTGAATTTTCTGCAGGCTCCGTCGGTCAGACCGAGGCTATACCGAGGCTATGGAGCACGTGGGGTGGGGACAGGAACTAAGGAGTTTTGTATATCATATTGGGGCCATAGTCTAAACTTCCAGGTGCTCACGATATTTCTTCAGCTGGGAATGTGGGAAGCTGCGGGGTGGAGGGGAAGACCACCCCTTTGGGGATTGCATGGTGGCTTGGAGGCTTTTTGTTTCTCTTATGGTTCCTCAGCCTAGGGCTGGAGTTGCCACCTCTCTGCTGTGCCTTCTGGCTCCAGCAAACACCTGCTGGGGCACCACACTGTGTGGCTTTGCCCACACTCCTGTACCCTTTGTCACCCTCATGCTTAGTACAGTACTGTCTTCCCATCATGGGAACGGCTAGGACAGTGACTTGGATGCTGTGTCCGATGGAGCATAAAAGCTCGTCTCTCCTTTTCCTGATCCCGCAGACTTTTCATTAGACGCCGAGGTCGGCGTGGGGAGGTCACTGCAGGCAGCCGGCTGGAGCAGCTCCCTCTCCCACTCGAGCAGTCACCACTCAGTGCCTTTGGGCCTTTGTGTCAGTGCTGCCCCTTGCCCCTGGCTGTCAGGCCGTGAGGAGCCCTCCTCCCACTTGCTGATGCACCTGATGGGCCAGGGGATCTCAGCTTTCCCCTGACAGTTTGAGATCTGAGCATCACCCTCATCACCAGAACTTAGGGTCTGTGCAGGGTTTGGATTTTTATCCTCCTTGCAAGCTTAGCAAGCCAGCCTGTCACTGTTTCATGGACGCTGGCATAAGACACGAGACAGCCAAGAACTTTGTCTTTCTTGGCAAACGGCATGAGTCCCGAGGTCGTAGGGGAGGTGGCATCACGAAGTGCCATGGAACCGTGTGAGGGGGAGGAGCCAGTTGGCATAGGTGGCGGGTTCCCATTGTGACTGAGGAACTCTCCTCCTCGTCCTGGAGGGAATTATGACACAATGCAGCCTGGAACAGTGGGCAGGGCATTCAGCACAGCTCCACGTTGTTTAAAAATACGTGCGTATTGATAATTTTAGAGAGAGGAAAGGAGAGGGGAGAGAGGGATAGAAACATTGATGAGGAGAGAAACATCGATTGGCTGCCTCCTGCCTACCCCCCCACAGGGAATCAAGCCTGAATCCGGGCATGTGCCCTGAACAGAATCAAACTGGTGACCTCTTGGTGCAGGGGTGGATGCTCCACCACTGAGCCACACCAGCTGGGCCAGTTCCAAGATATCATTGTGATTTTATCGCACTAATGGGTGAATATTGGGGAAAACCAGAAACTTATAAATTATTTTTTTGTACACTTCTAATTTTTTAAAATGATATTTACATATTCTTTATTTTTAAATTCTTTATTTTATTTTTGTTAATCCTCCCCTGGATATTTTTTTATTGATTTAAAAAAATATCTTTTTAGATGGAGTAGAAGGGAAGGAAGGGGTGGGGGGAGAGAGAGAAACAGAAACATCGACTCGAGAAAGATACATTGATTGGTTGCTTCCTGCATGACCCTGACTGGGACCAGGATTGGAACCTGCAACCCAGGTGTGTATCCCTGACTGGGAATCGAACCCGTGACCCCTTGGTCCTCGGGCTGATGCTTTAACTGCTGAGCCAAACTGGCCAGGGCATTTTTATACATTCTTTTAATCGTTTTTGAACATTTGTTTTGGAGAAAGAAGTTTGGAAATAGATCTAGAATTCTTAAAATAGAACTGTAGCTTTATTTGCCACAATTGTCTAATGTCAAAGAAAACCAGGGGCTGTTTAAACCAGTACGTGTGATGGAGAGCAGAGCGTCTTGTCGTGAGCAGGTGCCCGTTCGCTGCATCTCCTTACACCTGCTTCCCTCTGAGCGCGGTGCTCTCAGGACGGCCTCCTGTGGTCGTGGTGGGGAAGGAAGGAGCCACGGTGGGTCCGACCACCAGGCACCAGGCACCTGGAAACAACCACAGTCTTCCTGACTGCTCACAGTTGTGGGGAGTAAGGCTAGGGAGAGTTGGTGTTTAAAGTTACGTGTAGGTTTTTTATGTATGTTTACCTATATGCTTATAATTTGTTTCAGTCGTCATTGAATTTTGAGAAGCATACTGAAAACTTTTCATGGACAGAAAATCGTTATGATGTGAACCGTCGACGACACAACTCTTCAGATGGCTTTGACTCTGGCATCGGACGTCCCAGTGGAGGTAACGTTTGCTAAGGAGTGATAGAGTTCAAGGATACTTTTTTCGTGTTCTTTTAAGAATGTTATTATTGTGATTCAGTCTTTAAGTATAACTGTCTTCTTTGAATTTATAATATTTTATCATTATCAAAAAAGGTAACTTTGGAAGGAAAGAAAAAAATGGATGGCGTACACATGGCAGAAATGCTACTGAAAACGTAAATCATCGCGGGGGTTACCATGGTGGCAGTTCCCGTTCTCGCAGCAGCCTTTTCCCTTCCGGGAAAAGCCAAGGACCTCACGAAAACAGCGTCCCTGACAGTGAGACAGGGCGGAAGGAAGACAAGAGAGAACGCAGACAGTTCGAGGCTGAGGATTTTGTAAGTTTCTTGTGCTTTTAGGACACGTAGTTTCTGCAAGAGCGTTGCAGCATGAGCTCGATTTCTACCGGGAGCACCCTCAAGGGGACCCGTTTTCCAAGGCTCTTGTTCACAGTTTTCCCTTCCTGTTCCTGTCTCACTCACTACGTGTCTGTTCAAGCTTCTGATAGCTCCTTATAGAAATTCTACATTTCCCTCAGAAACAGTGGCCGAGTTTAGTAGCTTATTTGCAAGTACATCATGATATGTTTTTTAAAAAGCTGTAAATTTTTGGAAAGAATATTTTACCTGTGCATTTTACGTAAGATTGTCTCTCTTAACACTTGATTAGTTGTGTGTGACTCTTAATCCCAGGATAGCTCTCTCTCTTTCAGCTACTTTCTCTATTCAGAAGTTTCTTTGTGGTCAGGAGAGGCAAACTAATTGTTAGTCTAGGTCAGATACAATTAGGAATTGTAACTCCACTAGAAACAAGTACAAACTAATTAAAAACAAAATTAAAAAAATTTTTCCTGATGGTAAATCTCACCATGTGGCTGGCTCATTGAAACACAGTCTCTCAAGCTACATAGAGGTTGATGCAGCGCACACTCTTGTTTATCTGGTTCTTGTGCCTCATTCCTGGTCCTTTGTTTTTGTGTGTATGTTCACTCTTCATCCAGCCAGCATTTACGTGGCTCTGCGTCTAGCTGTTCTTGGCCCTCAGAACACACAGGTGAAGGAGATAGGCAAGGTCCCTCCTGTTACTGGGTTCTGTTCTCTTGGGGACATTAGGACGATAAAAAGAAAAAATATCTAGTATGTTGCAGAGAATTTAGACAGGAAGTGACTGAGCACCACTTTGGTTTGGCAGATCAGGAGAGACTTCTCTAGGAAGGTGCCTTTTATTTGTTTATTTTTTTATCCTCACCCGAGGACATTTTTCCATTTTTTGTTCAGACAGAGTGGGAGGGAGAGAGAGGAAGAGAGAGAGAGAAACATCGACATGAAAGGGACACATCGAGTGGCTGCCACCCGCACGACCAACCAGGGCCGGGGACAAACTGCAACCGAAGTACATGCCCTTAATGGGAACCGAACCCAGGTCTTTCCGGACCGCAGGCTGACGCTCTAGCTGCTGAGCCAAACCGGCCAGGGCGGAAGGTGCCTTTTAATCTGGGACGTTAAGAGCGAGCTTTGTTAAGACTGGGAGACGGGGGAAGAGCTGGTGGAAAGGCCCTAAGGTGGGAGCAGGCTTGTCGTGGGTAAGGGATAAAAGGCCAGTGCAGTGAAGACTGGCACCAGGCCAGCTGGAGAAGTAGGAAAGGGTTGACGTCGAGGAGGACTTTTGCCTGTAACAAAGAATTTTAGTTTAATTACAAATGCAGCAGGAAGCCTCTGGAGAAGTCATGTGAGTCGATTTTTGTCTTTTTGAAGACGATTCCGGTAGTTACAACTTGAGTGGATTTCAGCGAGAGCTGGGAGACCAGTCAGGAGGGGCAGCGATAGTTCAGGAGAAGACGACGGTGTGCGTGGGCAGAGCTGTGGCAGGCGGAGACACGTGTTTGGGGTATAGTTTGGTGGTGGGCGGGTTGGAGGGTGGAAGTGAGAGGAAGAGGTGACAGATCGGATGTGGGCAGGGGAGTGCTGAGGGCAAGAGAAGAGCAGTCTCAGGTCTGAGGTCCTGGAGTCGTGATGCCTTCCCATTTCTGTAGCCCGTAAAATGGACTTTTTTATGATGTGAACAAAGCAGAAGGATGAGAGTGCTCTCGTAGTGCTGTGAGGGTTAGCAGGGCCCTGCCCAGTGGTCGCTGAGGCCCGTGCACCGCACAGCAGGTGCTGCCCCCGCTCCCAGGACGGTGGCGCTGCCCTCGCAGCCCAGACCCGGACAGCCCCGCAGTCTGATGTCTCCCACTAGCACAGCACCGGAGAGCATGTGCAGCCCACCAGTCTTCTCCGTCCTCTGCAGTTTGACCAAGGAGTCCATGCTAGTATGCATGTGTACTCTTTGGCTTTTTGATAATGTCAATGGAAGATTCATTTTATCCAACACATCTTAAGCACCTTGTTTGAGGCCTGGCAGTCTGTGTTGCTAGGTCATGTGGAACATACCTGATACAATTAATGGAAATTTAGGGATTTAGAGGGTCAGCATATCTACTAAGATTAGCTTTAGAGGACACAGTCATTGCCCCACTCCATTTCTTTGTAAGAGTCTGAGCATCACTTGTTAAAATAAGAATTTGCACTTGGCTTTGAGAATGAGTGTGCTAACTAAAGCACCCAGTAATGAAAACAGTGTGTGTGTGTGTTGGGGGGGCATTTGTCCTCTTCCCTGCTCTTGACTTTATGCTGAGGAAGGACACTTCTCAGTTCTGTTGTGTGCGTATTTGGACACGTTTCCCTCAGGCATTTGGGGATGAGGAAAATATTTAGACACTTGTCTCTCTGACTAGGAGTGATTAAGTATAGATAGTAACTTTTAACGATTAGCAGACTAAGCTGAATGTTACGGTTATGATTCTAATTAATCTTCAGTTGTTGAGTTGCTTATGTCATGTTTTTCAGTAAGATTTTGAGATTATTTTTAAAAGGATTTATTTTTAAATGTGAGCAGTTTAAACATGTTTTTGTATTGTTTTCATTTCGATTTTCTTTCAGCCGTCTTTAAATCCTGAATATGAGAGAGAACCAAATCAAAATAAGTCTTTAGCTGCAGGTGTATGGGGTAAGTAATTTTTTATCTATCTTTGAGGGGTATAAACTGTTATTTGTAGGTTTCACTTTTCATTGTTTTAAAAATAAATAGAATTAAAATTTTTCTTTTAAATGTGTTGATGTGCTTAGCTACAAAAAAGGTGGCAGTGACATTTTAAAAACAAGATATTGGGGTTAGAAGAAGAGTTCAAATTGAAACAATTGATTTGCCCATGTTTGTACCGTTAAGAATACTCACAGATGAATTTAAAAACATGGTTGTAAGTTATTGTCATGAATGGAAGTAATTTTGAGAGCAGCCCAATAACATAAAGAAAAGACTTAATTTTAAATTAATTTTTAGTTTTTCAAAGTTGAAAACTTAGTTAATTTGGGAGATAAGTACTTCTAATCATAGTGTGACATAAATTTAATTGTTTTACTTATGGAAATGGTTCCACATAGAGAGTATTAAACACAGTTATATGAACTTGCCTATGGAACTTAGTCTGTGTTTGAAATTATCTGCCTTTTTGATTGTCAAAGCTTAATGACAGTTTTTCTGGTAAAAACTCCCTTTTCTTTAAAATTGCATAGAGTTTAATTTGATAGCATCTTACAAAAGATTAAACTGCACTTAGTATAAATTAGACAGCTTTTTAAAGATTCAAGTGAAGTTTAAAATAATGAAAAAATTTAAAATATGAAGATTTGATGTCTGAAAAATAAATTTAATTATTTGATACCAAATTCAAGGTGATGTATTCGCTTTGGAACTTGTACACGTTCATTTGTATTTTTCTATTGAAAATCAACTTATCAAAACAAGGATTGTGGCTTATGACAGCATTACTAGTCCTAACAATGAAGGCATTATTTTAAACTTTGCCACTTCCTGTGCTGTTCTTTAATGTCTTTATGGGTGATCTCTGGGGAATTACTTTGTTTTCTTTTGCTCTCCAGATTGATTTAAGGGTTGTTGAGGGTGGGGGTGGGGGTGGTCAGACACTTCTGCTAGAACCGGGTGAAGAGCATTGTTTTCTGTATTGCAAATTAGTATTTCTGCCACTCTCCTCAGGCCTACACGCCCAGACACACACATACCCAACCAAAAAACTCTCCCAAGCTCCTCTCTTAGGTATGTTTCCTTATTATTCAGTTTTTCTGGGAACAGCTGTTTGCATAAGAATATAGATTCACCTGGAAGGTGCTGCATAGGCTCTGAGAAACTAGGGACGATTTGGATTTGGCTGGAGTGAAAGTGAGAAGTCAAGAAAGCCAGCGAGCCTTTGTCATATAAAACTATAGATACTGTTGCTGTTGATCCTTGGTTAATTTAATCATTTTGGAAATGATTTAAAAGCAAATACATTTTTGAAAATATTGAATACAGTGTATGAATATAAAGATTTTGGTTCTACTGTTTCAGGGTTGGTGTAATAAGGATTTGAGCACTAGTTGGAAAGATGTTTAAAGGGAAGACACACTCTTTGCTGTGTCGTAGGTAACCTGGGAAGTGTGCTGCGTTAGGGAGAGAAGGTTCATTGTGGCTGGTCAGCGGGTGACTCCCACAGCTCCGTAGGGCACAGTGAACGTTCATTGTGGTGACTATTACTCCTGTCTGCTTTCCCCTGGGCTCCCACATACTGTTTTACCATTGCAACATTTAACATAGCTATTGCGCTCCTGAGGAAGACATGAGAGAAATTTAGGAAAGACTTCAATAGAACTTTTCTAGCTACTTCCTTCCAGGTAAGTAAAAATTTAATAATGGAAATGTAATATATATTAAAAATGAACCAGTTTGTCCCTGAAACTATTTTTTCATAGATCAAAAATTGCAAGAGTCTAAACATAATATCCCAATTAAGAAAAATAGCTTGTGGTGAAGTAATCAAGCTATGTAAATGAAGTTCCATAAGGAACTCGACTGCATTGGGCTACTGAGAGCACTTGTCCGTGCAGCTGTGACCTCTGCAGTGTCCTGATGTCAGCAGGATCACTGGTGTCTGGTGCACAGGATCAATGCTTACTGAATGGACATTATTTCTATGTTCTTAATAATGCAAGACTGAACCAGAAATTCAGCTACGTTAGTGTGTCTGAGAATTTTAGAATAATTTAGTTGTGTGGTTGATTTGTTTGGGGGGGTGAGAAAGAAGAGATAAAATGATACATGTTTGTTACGTGTTTGTGTGCAGTTTGAGACACGGTTAGGGACTGGCCTTGTGCCTTCAGAGTCCCGCTGGCCACTTCCGTGTCAGCGTGCTGGCAGCGCTGTTGGTGCCGTCTGGCCCCGGAGTGCCGGGCTCCACCTGGCACTGCAGGCCTACGGATGCACCTCACTCAGTCTGTTTCCACCCAGCATTCACGTCTGTCGCGTTCCTTCATAACTTGACGATCTTTTCAGATTTTTGCTCATATTTGATATACTGCTTAAGAGCATCAAGGTTCATTTTTAAGAATTTTGTTTAGCTTTCAAAATCATAGCAAATTGGTGACTAGTTCTTAAAGATGGATTGTTTTCTAGAGAATTCTAACATTAGCCACAAGTATACAGACACAATTTTATTAAATGAGTGAGATAATGTTGGAAGCCATTGCGTGTGTATGTGTGTGTTTGTTTTAAAGGAACTTTGTAAGTAGAATTAAGAAGGGAATAGTTTTCAAATTTATTTGTAAAACCATTATGTTGATAAATTGTTTACGAATTGAAATGACTCCACTTTCCTTTGAAGTCCTTCTTATATGGAAACAGTTCAAATTATTACATAAAGAAAAAAGGTAATACAGCATATGTTCAAGGTTGAGAAAGGAAAGTTAATGGGGTTTGATTAGGCAGCTTGACACATTGTATTTGGTCAGAGTTAGAAGCATTACTGTTCCATCAGTTTGGAAGTATGTTCTTTGAGCCTGGCCTTCCTGTGAGTAACAGAGGGGACCTTGCTGAAGGACAAGTGCTGCATCCCCGCTGCTGACGCACATTGTTAGCCAGACTCATTGACCAGTGCTCTGATACTGCTGTAAAGCAAAACAGGTTTGTACGTTAAATTTAAAAATTCAAAACCAACAAAATCCAAACATCGTTAGTCTATATAAAAATAATCCTAGCAGATTACTTGTTAAAATAGTGTTCACAGTGCCCTGGCTGGGTGGTTCAGGTGGTTGGAGTGTCATCCTGTACGCCAAAAGGTCTGGGGTTCGATTCCCAGTTGGGACGCATATGGGAGGCAACTGATTGATGTTTCTCACATCGCTGTTTCTCTCTCGCCCTCTCTCTCTGCAGTAAATAAAAATATACCCTCAGGCGAGGATTAAAAAGATAGGTTTACATTAGGAATTGTTTTAATTGCTGTGGCTCAGATTCTTTGAGTTTCATATTTGTATATTGTGTCTTATATGACTGTTTCCTCCCCAAACTTGTGTGAAAACGTAATTCAGTTACTGTTCACCCTTCACTTGGCCATATGCCCTTGTTCACACATTAAAGTTGTTTTCTTGTGTCAAAGTGACGTGGAAACTCAGCGTGGGCATCGATGTGATGGTGAAGGAAGTGGGGGTGGGCCTTGATGTCGCTGGGCGGCACACATTCAGCCTTCACACTGACCTGCAGTGTGGGCTCGATGCCAGTGCTCTCAGTCGGGGGCGGGGGGGGGGTGGGACGGGACTGGGACAAGCATTGTGAAGGACCCGGCTGGCAGCAGTTTAGTCCCATGTTCTCCAGAGCGCAGAGCACTGGTGATGAGGGCGTTGGCATTGGAATTGGGTGGATCTGCGCCTGGCATGAGGTCTCGTACGTGCTGGTCGTGTGGACTTGATCTCTCGCAGTGATCTTTACCCTGTGTGAGATGAGGGTGATCACAGTAATCCTCGTGAGAAAGCAGTATTAATGTTTGTGTAAAATCTTGGCTCATGTTATAGGTGTTTAATAAATGTTATCTGGTTATGTTGTTCAAACCCAGTGAGCCAGGGAGATTCTAGTAGATTTATTTATTATAAGGCCAAAAAGAAAAAAGAATTTCTAAGTAACATATTAAAGAATGAAGTAATAAGTGATTGAATCACTTTATGTGGCAACTGTGTAGATAGTGCAGTGAAGGAGAAGATGAGAATTCGAGATGTCAGCTCAGAGTGAAGCATGTGGCTGGTTTCCTTGGTGTTACATGTGGCAGCATTTTAATTCTCACCCTTCTTCCAAGGAATTGAGCCACTCCCCGTCCACATTGACTTTGTGTTGAAGGGTTAGCACTGATCGTTACATTTACAGATACTGGGAGAGCGTGAATAGTGGGATAACAAAAGGAGAGTTAAAATTAGTTATTGGCAGATTACAGTTGTTTGTGAGGATAATGGGGAAATAGTGATATGAAAATCCAAAATCATGTTTGCCTTCAGGTGTTTCGAACTTAAATTTGAATGAGGACACTTAGCCATGAGCTTAGGTGGTGAGCGCATGGCAGGCACTGCGGCTGGGCACCGAGGGCGCGGGCTCCCTGGTGCACTCCTGTCAGTGCCAAACCTTCCACCAGCCGCGTCCTCGAGAGGGACCGAGGGCTAAGAGCACGTGGTGCCGCCGCGTGGGATGGGAAACTGAAACGCGTGGACACAGACAGCAGCAGGGGGCTCTGGGGGGTGAAGGGGCCAAATATATGGTGATGGACGCTGGTTTGTGACCTTGGGTGGGGGGCACACAGTGCAGTATGCAGATCATGTATCCTAGACACACACACGTAAAGTATGCTCCTGTTAACCAAGGTCACCCCAATACATTTAATAAGACAAATAAATAATTTGGGTCTTTTTCATATAGTTTACCAATTGACACATTAAATGGAAAAGTGTAGGAGATATTGGATATTGTTTTGAATTCAGTAGTTTCAGCATGAACCTGGACAGTTTCCGTCCGGAGAGTCTCCAGAGACAGTCTGATGAGGTGGGCCTGGGGGCAAGCCGCAGAGTGGACACACATGGCGACAGTGACTTCTGCTCTCAGTGCCACCGCCACACTGTCCATTACTGTGAGCAACAATTATTCCATTAAGAACACTTTTTTAACACTTTCTTGTTCTTAAATGGGAAAGTTTATGTAGTATATTCAGCATAGTTATACAGGACATAAATTATTCTTTATTGTGTTTATTTCTGTTATAATTTTTCTTTTCTTTCATAGTCGTGGATCCACTTAAAATTCCCCAAAAAAGGACACCTTTTATTTAAAATATAATTGGAAGCCTGTCATAGTATGTGACTTTTCTGGACAAGTTTTCTAATTTTTAAAAAAATATTTCACAATAACTTTGAGACAGGAACTAATGTTTTCCACTTCATAGATGAGAGATTACCTACTAAGGTTGGAGCAAGAATTAAGATTCTGAAATCTGGTACAGAAGCATATGTTCCTCACCCCTGTACGGAAATATTTGAATACGAAGGTACTTAAGTCTATCAGTGCTTCTGTCTGCTGCTCTTCCCTCCCAGCCCCACCATCTTCCTTTATCGTCTTTCACTTCACTGCCTGTTCTTCTGTGACTGTTTCCTTGGGCTTCACGCTCCTCCTCTCAGGATATCCCGTCCCTCTTAGTGTCGAAGGGCTCTTTGAGGAAACAGCCACGTGCCTACTCCTAGCTGTCTGGGAATCCTGTTGTAGGAAAGGTGCACCTAGTGGTCACGACTGCATTGAGGCTTCAAGGAAACACACTTCCTTGTCCACTCCCCTTCTCTTCGCCTTCTTGTTTTGATCAGTGGCAGCTCATGTATAAAAACTAGGGTCTCTGCTTGTTGTACCTTCAGCCTTACATACGGGGTCGTTTTCCTTCTGTCGTTGTTGAGGATGGACTTCAGTGAGGATCTTTGCTTGGTAGTCAATAACTTGATGTTTGTCTGAAAAGGTTTTATGTCTGCCCTCTGCCCTAGATGGCATTTCCAAGTCTGCAGTACAGAGCCTGCAGGGCAGATGGACTCCCTTCTGAGCTGCTGCTCCTGTGTGTGCTCTGAACTGAAGCTTCCCTTTGTCGCCTTAGAAAGTGTGGGCAGAGATCACCTTTTTTGCTGTTATTACTGTTGTGTTTGTTTTTCTCCCTCATAGTAATTTTAACATAAGGGTCTGGAAGGGAAAGAAGATGAACCTGGGCCTTGGTTGGCCACATGCTGATGGAACAGCACGTGGCTTCCTCTAAATGAGACCTTGCAGCCGCCTCTCACCTTCTGCATTTCCCAGCGTCAGTCATTCCTCAGATTCCCAAGTTTCATTTAATTTAGATTCTCAGTACCAGGCTGTTAAGATTTTCTCTTGCCCGGCTGGTGTGGCTCAGTGGCTGAGCATCGACCCTGCACCAAGAGGTCGCTGGTTCGATTCCCGGTCAGGGCACATGCCCAGGTTGTGGGCCTGATCCCCAGTAGGGGGCATGCGGGAGGCAGCTAATTGATGTTCTCTCTCATCAATGTTTCCATCTCTCTCTCCCTCTCCCTTCCTCTGTCTCTCAAATCGATAAAGAAAAAAATAAAAATAAATTTTCTCTTATATTTTACTATCAAGAATTGCTAATGAGAGTTTTTTTATACTTATTCATGCAGTCGTTATCTGTTTACCAAAAGTGATAATTGCAAAACCTAAATTGGTTTTAGTACTCTTTCTTGTTTATTGATCTCTGTTGAGATTTTTGTCTTTACATTTGGTTTTGTCAACACCCTTGGGTAAGTTCTTCAGAACAGCTGCATAGTAACTGGTGGCACCATTTCTGTGCTGTATGCCTGAGGATGCTGTCTTTGTGTTTGTGTCTTTTTAGGCAGCCAAGGAGTTGGAATGTTTGCCCTTGGAGGTTTAACGTGTATTGAACTTCCGGAAAGATGAACCTTTGCTTAGTTTGCTCTGGGTCCTTGTCCTTTTGTCCTGCAGTGTTAGAATGAGCGAAACGCCACACAAGCTCTGTGTTTGACGGAACTTAGCCTCAGGTGCACTTGGAGAGTCTTTCCATGTGCCTAGGAACCCTTGTTTAGTTTTGTTTCTGAGATGATCTAGCAGGAAAGTTGGTTTGTTTTGTTTGGGGCGGAGCATCATCACAGAGCGTCTGTGCGATTCACTCTGTCACAGGACCACATCATCTAGCATGCAGAGCTACCTCAGGTTCTGGGCATTCTCTCTACGAGTTAATTCTTTCATTCTGAACTCTTTATCTGTGAGACTGATGCTTTCAGAATTTTTTATTGCAATAATCATGATTGTGCTTATGTGTAACACATGTTTAATTATACACACACGGATCATGCTCGAGGTAGAAGTAGTTTTTCGTATTTTAATAAATGCCGTGGTCTTGAGGAAAGTTTTTAGTTTGCAACTGTTTCCTAGTGCAGCCTTCAGAAGCTGGGCTGGTTTGGTTCCACAGTTCACAGGTGCCTGCACTGTAGTTAGATGGTCAGCAGAGGTCTGAAGGAGTAGATTGGTGGTGTGAAAATAGAACTCTCTTTGATTGGAACGAGGCCTGCAATTCCTTACTTCCTGGTAATAACTTCATAAGTGAGAATACAAAGAACAAAAAGGAATTAGGAGAATTCTCTTTGCAAAATGGGAAAGAGGAAAATATACTTTATATTCCAGGTCTTAACAGTCATTAGGATGAAAATTGCAATGACACGTATCTAGATCTACTTAATCGTGGTTTGGTCACAGCGACATCGCTAGGCCACCGTCAGCGGAGTACGTCTTATGTGTGGCTTGACGTCACTCAGCTCTTCTGCGATTTGTTCAGCTACACTTCAGCTGTATTTCTTAAGCAGGAGTATTGGTCATACTTATTTAGCTTAATTATTTTACCCGGGAAGCAGCTGTTATTTTTAAATACGATCAAGGATTTAGAGTATACTATTCTTCTGATGGTTTAATTTTATGTTAAAATTTAAACTGTGTGTAACTCTTGCTCGTCCTTTATTTATGCAGAATACCCTCCGAATCCTAAATCTAGAACTCCCAGGATGCTGGTCATTAAGAAAGGTAATGCAAAAGACTTACAGCTCTCTGGATTTCCAGTGGTAGGAAGTCTGCAGTCACAGCCAGTAAAGAACGGGACTGGTCCAAGTGTTTATAAAGGTTTAGTCCCTAAACCTGCTGCTCCACCTACAAAAGTAAGTTCTAAATTGTTAAAAAATACAAGTTTTAAGTTGATATTGATTGAACTATTTTGGGAAAATGTTAAAAATTGTACACCAAATTGAGTTATTTGGTAGGGTGGTGACTTGGCTGAGAGAAAACAGTTGGCCTGTTGTGTGTCATTAATTTTAACTGCCCTGTGAAGGCATGTGTGTGTCTGCCCGTGTGTGTGTCTGCCCGTGTGTGTGTCTGCCCGTGTGGTGGCCTTGGCGGTAGTGAGACCTGTGGGACTTGGTTCTGCCACCGTCTCTGGTTGACCTGACCTCGGACACCTGACGTTTCCTGTGCGCTGGGTCAGGCTCGTGACACTCCCACCCACTGGTGTTTCCTTGACATTAGGGAGAGGAAATCTAACTAGGTTTATAAAACTTTGGAAAAATAGCAGTAGTCAGACGTTTTTATCTGAACACCGTGCTTGGACTGTATTTGTGGAGAAAGATCACGAGAAGCGTGGGAATGAGGGAGATGCGCACAGAGTGTTTTCATGAGCCACGTGCGGCGCCTTTGTTTCCCGCTGCTCCCTCGTGTGTCTCTGTCCGTAGAGGCTGTGTTGTCGATGTATATTGATGTGGGTGCGTTTTTATTCAGCCTACCCAGTGGAAAAGCCAATCTAAAGAAAATAAAGTTGGGACTTCTTTCTCTCATGAGTCTACATATGGTGTCGGAAACTTCAATGCTTTTAAATCAACCACCAAGAATTTCAGTCCATCAACAACTTCAGTAAAGGAGGTATGGCATTTACAGTTATTTTTCGAAAATGCAGCATATTATAAACATAGTTTCATTATCAGCAAAAGCCATACATTCATTATATGGCTACATTACAGTGAAATGATGTAGTTCTTTTACAAAACTTTATTTAGATCTTTCTCCTCTATTTGCTGACACTTTTGAACATTTAAGTAGGAATGAGTTTTAAAAGTTTTACTGAAAATTTTCAAACATCCCAAAAATGTAGAGAAAATTAATGCCATATATGCACTGACTGGAAAGAAGAACTTTTAAGAATTAGGAAAGTTACAGTTTAGATATTTGTGATGGAGTTATGCTATGCATATGATTGACTCCTGACTAAAACTGAAGATTTGTATGACATCATCATCTTTTGGGGCGGATGGAATGTTATCAGTGTTAACACTTAGGGGCAGAGGGAGGAAGAGGGAAGGAGCAGGTGGTTGTTGCCCTGACTCGAGGTGCCTGGAGTGAGGGATTTCTTTGTCACTTCATCAGTTTCTGAAACTTCAATACCAGGGAGTTTTCTGACGGGTTCAGGGTCAAAAGATACTTGAGACAACACGTTTCTGCTGAGATTGCTGTGGGCACTCAGTGGGGCCCCAGGGTTCCTCATGCACTGGTTTCACAGTGTACACAGTCACACCTTCAGAGCTTTGGTGGAAGACCCGCATTCTCCTCTCCTCTGGTTAATTGTGGTTTAGACTCATTCTAATCTGACATTATTGCCCACAGTTAAGCATTATGGTTCATTGTCGTGGTTAAAACTCTGTGATACAGAGCCCTGACATTGTTTCCTACGGCGCCCCACTGTCAGAGTGGAACACTGGAAACAAGGGTGTCCGTGCATGATTCTTCCCCTTTCCTCCTGCCCTGCCACAGAACTTTTCCAGGTGAAATTCTACCTGATACACCCTGTGTGTACCTGCACGTCAGTGAATGTAAATAGATCTTCCTGGAGCTGTTATTAGAACTCCAGCCTTAGAACTCTGGAACACAGTTTGAAACACTGTTTTTCTATGTATTATTGAAATGCTTAAACAATTACAGGATTTATTTTTAAAATAGTGTTTAAACTCCTAATTTAGAGTCATAGTTCTTTGTGTTATCAGACCTTAAATGTTTCTGGGGTAAGAAAATTTCTATTGTTTACTCATCCAGTGGGGTAGATAAAACATATAGGTAGAGAGGAAAATAGTCTTTGAAATGGACCTTAAAGTCAGTTTCACATGGTGAACAAAGGTGGAAGAGGAAGCTGTGGCTGTGGACTTCGAACTGACAGGAGCTCTGTCTGCGTATTTATCAGCACTTCTGAATTTTCTCTTAGTGCAATCGCTCAAATTCCTCGTCACCTGTGGACAGACTCAGTCAGCAGCCCCGCCTGACCAAGCTGACCCGCATGCGCACTGACAGGAAGAGCGAGTTTCTGAAAGCGCTGAAGAGGGACCGCGTGGAGGAGGAGCACGAGGACGGTGGCCACGCTGGCTCTGAGAAGGTGCCGGGCGGCAGCTCTGGGTTGGGGCCGTGCCCGTGGGATGTCCGGGCAAATACCATTCGGGACCTTGGCGTGAACTTGGCGTGAACGTGAATGGCTTCTTTCTGGAGCACGTTCCCTCACTCTGGTTCTGGGGCAGAGATGACATTTACATTTCTGCTCATACATGTTTTATGTTTTCCCCATGTTGTCTGCCTTTATCCTTCGGGTTTTTGGCCTTTGTTGAATAGATGTGAATGCTGGAGTCAAGAAGCTGTGTGTGTTCACCACAGCTTAGTTTTGTATCTTACGAGAATGTCTCCCAGATTTAATGATTATATTTAATACACATCTGTGTATTATTAATGGAAGTTAACAGGACCTCTTAACAGTTTTTAACAGTGGTATTCTCTAACTCATTCTTTTCTAATTCCCTAAAACTCAGGATGACGACTCGTTTAATTTGCATAACAGCAATAGCACTCACCAAGAAAGAGATATAAACAGAAACTTTGGTGAAAGCGAAGTCCCGCAGGAGAACGGCAACGCCTCGGTGGTTTCCCAGCAGGTCGCTCGGTCTTCGACCTTCCCACAGACTGATGTGCTTTCCAGTTCACTTGAGGCAGAACACAGGTGAATGTTTATTTTTATATCTAGGATTTTGATATTACAGAAATGTGGTTATTTTTTAGCAGTTTATTGAGATATAATTTATATGCCATAAATCTCACACATTTTATTTTATTACATTTTTTATCCTCACCCGAGGACACTTTTGCATTTATCTTCAGATAGAGTGGGAGGGAGAGAGGGGGAGAGAGAGACATCAACTGGTTGCCACCTGCATAACCCCAGCTGGGGCCAGAAACGAACTGCAACCGAGGTACATGCCCTTAGCGGGAACCGGACCCTGGTCTCTGTGGTCCGTGAGCTGACACTCTAACCACTGAGCAACATCAGCCAGGGCAGATCTCATCCATTTTAAAAGCACAAATTGCTGCCTGGCCAGTGCAGCTCAGTGGTTGAGCGTCGGCCCTTGCACGAATAAGTCGCTGGTTTGATACCCAGGCCCAGGCCCAGGTTGTGGGTCTGATCCCTAGTGGGGGGCATGCAGGAGGTGGCCAGTTGATGTTCTTTCTCATCGATGTTTCTATCTCTCCTTCTCCTTTCTTCTCTCTAAAATCACTGAAGAAAAAAAAATAAAGTACAAATCATTGATTTTTTTTTTTTTTTTTTTAGTATATTCCGAGCTGTGCAACTGTCATCACAGTCTAGCTTTAGACCATTTCGTCACTCCCAGTAGACAGCCTGTGCTCATCTGCAGTCACCCTCCTTTTTTCTCTCTGTTGTAGGTAACCCCAGTCTCCTGCATGTATCTTTAAATCTGCCTTTTCTGGATGCTGGATAGGAGTAGGGCCTGACCTGTTCTGTCCTGTGTCTGGCTCCTGTCACGTAGCACAGTGGCTTTTGGGGCCACTGGCACTGGCCAGCGTGTCTCTGCTTTGACCCCTTCGCAGCCTTTGGTGCTCTGTGCGGCTGCGCTGCTTGTCCATCGAGGTCCTGGGTGGTCTGCTCTTTGAGTGTCTGGACAGTGCTGCTGTGGACGCTCATGTTCACCTGTGTGTGTGGGCAGGGTTTTCTTCCTTTCGGGCAGATACCTCGGAGTGGAAGTGCTGGGACCTGGGCTTACCTTTTGAGAAACTGCCAAACTCACTTGGAGCTCACTCCACGTTCTCAGCAGTGTGAGGACAAACGTGTCCCCAGGCTCTCACGGACACGCGATACCATCTGTCTTTTTGATCGTAGCCATTCTATGATACGTGAAATGGTATATTTTGTGGATTTTAATATTCATTTGCATAGTGATCAGCAGTGCTGAGCCTCTCTTCATGTGTATTTGTTCACCATTTGTGTATCTTTTTTGGAGAAATCTCTGTTGAAATTCTTTGTTCATTTTAAATTGCATTACTTATCTTACTGGGTTGTAAGAGTCCTTTCTATATTTTTGGTATAAGTTTCAGACTTTTTTCCTATTCTGTGAATTGTCTTCAGTTTCTAAATGGTGCCTTTTGAAATACAAAAGCATGATTTTCATGAAGTCATTTTATAATTTTTTTTTATTGCTTGTGCATGTTGTGCCTATGCTGTGCGGTAGGGTTACAGATCCATCCTTTTCCTTGTGAATATCCATCCCGTTGTCCCAGGATGGGATTTATTTTTTATTGTAAACTTTCAAGAGCACTTCCTGCTTGCGTCATTATCAAACCTTAGGTATCTTTTATTTAGCGAACTCTTAAGTGATTTAGTCTCAGAATTGAAGTGTATTCTAGTCTAGAGTAGACTTGTGGTTTTTCCCCTATGATTTTTTTTTTTTTTTAATCTTCACCCAAGGATATTTTTTCATTGATTTTTCAGATAGAGCGAGAGGGAAGGAGAGAGAGAGAGAGACAGAGAAAAACACTGATGTGAGAGAGAGACATTGGTTGGTTGCCTCCTGCAGGACCCAGACCTGGGCTGGGGATCAAACCCACCACTCTTAGGTTCGCAGGCTGACACTGACTACTGAGCCAAACCGGCCAGGTTTCCCTATGATTTTATAGTTAAGAGCAGGTATTTTGCAGGCATCATTTATCCTTCCTGTGGTCTTGAAATAAACCACATGGTTCAGCATCACTACATGAAGGATTTGAGGACTTTGGCTCTGCTTGTTCGTTGGATTTGAATTAAGCAGACTTTTATTGAAGCTTAAATTCCGGTACAGAAATACACAGCACAGAGGGAAAAATAGGCACCAAAACTGTCCTCCTCTGTTGCACTCACTCCGGTCAGTTTAGATTACTGTTCACTCTGCATTGCTCATCTTTTAAAGGCTTTGTTCCATACATGTGTACTCTCAACGCCAGATAGAATTCTTAAATGTATCAGTCTCAGTGCCTTTTTAATAACTAAGGAATTACAGTTACTAAAGCAATGAAAGGTAATTTATCACTTATATTTGTCTATTTATGTAACTATAATTGTTTTGCATAAACTATATTGTTTTTTTACTAAAAATCTTACCTCCCCTGGGACCAGGCTCAGTGTGGGGTGATGCTCGTTAAAGCTCGATTGGTGGATTTTCTTGTTGGTTGTGATGCGAGTTCTCTGCAAACTTCATCAAATTCTAGAATACTAGGGAACTGGGCTATACCTGCTTCAGCTTTATGTTCATTGAGAACCTAAGCTCCATGAGGACAGATACTGGCATTCTGTTCCGTACTGTATCCGGCACGTGGCATTTATTGAGTGCTTGGATTGGTTCTGAACGAGGGGTGCAGCAGCTCAAACATTTTTCTGCCTCCTCTGTGAAACTGCTTGCAGGGGGAGATAGTGATACGGCAAGGGTGCTGGGTAGTCATTTGGAAGAAGGTTGTGTAGAGTTGAGTATGTACCTAGTTTGTGTTAGGGGAGTGCACGGAATAGCCCGACAGCAGTGTGGCGTTCTTACTGGGGTTAGAGATGACCTTCTTTCTTAAGATGCATTCCTGATTGTGAAGAAAGGGAAAATCTGCAAGGTTCTTTGTTTTGAAAGCTATTCCAGAAACTGTTATCAGTTACAGTCCCTGGGAATAAGGGAACAGAGGAGAAAATCGACAGTAAGGACAACTTGACTTTTACAATTTGTTTTATCTGTATTATTGTTAAGATTCAGGTTTTGTTTTTGTTTTTTTTTGTTTTTATCCTCATCCGAGGACATTTTTCGATATTTTGTTCAGATAGAGTGGGAGGGAGAGAGAGAGAGAAACATCGACGTGAAAGGGACACATGGAGTGGCTGCCACCCGCACGACCCAACCAGGGCCGGGGACAAACTGCAACCGAGGTACGTGCCCTTAGTGGGAACCGAACCCGGGTCTCTCTGGACTGCAGGCCGACGCTCTAACCGCTGAGCCAAACCAGCCAGGGCAAGATTCAGTTTTTATCAATGAAACTGTAAAAGTGAGGCTCTAGCAAAGACAGATTGTTACCACTCTAAATCTATAGGCCCTGGACTGGGTGGCATTGGGAATGCTTCATAGGGAGGCGAGGTTCAGGAGTGAAGATGGTGCCTTAGAAAGGAATGTTGAGTGCTGAAAGGGAGTGAGAGGGGCGGTGATCGATCACTTATGGCTGATTTTTTGGTCCAGAGGCAGCACGGTTTGGTGCGAGGTGTACTGACTTGTGAGGCAAAAACCAGAATTTTATTTCCTTGTCTGCCATTAAGTATGCAAGTCATTCTACTTACGTGATCCGATTCTTCACCTGTGAGATGCAGGTGTGGAGTTAAAGAGCACCGTCTCCTGGAGGCTGCTTCACTGAGGGAAGGAAGGCCACACACACACTGCTGATGTGTGACGGCTGGGTGGAAAGATGGATGGGTGTAAACAGGAGTAACAGATACTTCACAGCATATAGTTAATTTTTAAAAAAGTATAGTCATGTCAGTATAAAAAAATGTGTCCACCTAGAAACAGAGACCTTGCAGTCCTAGGTCAGATGCAGCAGCACAGGGTGCTTGTGTTTGCAGGGTGTGGCCACGAGAGGGAAGTGGGTGGGTCGTGGGTGGGTCACTGTTGGTCTCTCTCTCACTCTCTCTCTCTCTGGTTAATCCTCTCCTTAGGATATTTTCCTATTGGTTTTTAGACAGAATGGAAGGGAAGGAAGGAGGGAGAGAGGGAGAAACATTGATATGAACAATACATGGCCTGGTTGCCCCGTGCGTGAGCCCCACCAGAGCTGGGGAGCATACCTGCAACCCCAGGTACACGTCCTTGACCAGGAGTAGAATCTGAGACCCTTTGTTCTGCGGGCCAGCTGCTGAGCCAAACCGGCCAGGGCCAGGTATTCTCTTTAAAAATTAGAAGGAAAAGAGAGTAACCATTAGCCATTTTTCTTAGATCCTGATTGGGAGCTTTTCAGACAGCCTCTCTGATGTTACCGAGCGCAGGGCCATTGCACATGGGTTACGTGTTGGGGGTGACACACGAGAGGCGCTGCCAGCAGGCCCATGCTTGAGGAAGTGTGAGGCAGGGTTAGGTAGCCCTGCCTTTCTTCTGAAAGGAGAAAACCTGATGACAGCTAGACCGATGCATTGCCGTGGAACCGGAGCAAATGGGAAGAGCATCGCTTTTCTTTTTACTGCATGAATGTGAGCAGACTGGAACTTTCTGGCCTAGGGAACCTGTGCTACCAGAAATAAAGCAGCTAAGCAGTTCATTCTGATCCTGCTATCAAAGACATTTTATTGGGCTTAATCTTATCTGTTTATTCATTTTCAGAAAGACGTCAGAGCATAAACTCAAGTTCATCTTGATGTGTCTTGGGAACTGCATGGTGATGTGCTGTCTGCACGTGACATAAGCAGGGCTGTCCCTCGGGCACAGCTCTGAGCGTGTTCCTCTCCCCCTTTCCCAGACTGTTGAAGGAGATGGGCTGGCAGGAGGACAGCGAGAACGACGAGACCTGCGCCCCCCTGACTGAGGACGAGATGAGGGAATTCCAGGTCATCAGTGAGCAGGTGGGGAGGCCCAGCCTGAGCAAGTTCACTCGCTGCCTTTCTCAGTCAGAGCAGTAGGTCACAACAGCGCGGGGCCGGGCGGGGCGGGGGGGGGGGGGGGGCGGCGCTGGGGCGGGCACTGTTTTCTTCAGGAGCTTGCTGGGCATCGCATAATGGGCCAGGATTGCCTTGTTTCATGTCTCTATATTTTCTTTTTAAAGGAGTATTAGGGATATTTGACAGAGTGTCAGGAAGTTGTAATGATTTCTCAAAGTCATGGTTTTTTTATTAGTTATGGTCATGCAGAAGTGATTTTCTGTATGGACATGTTAAATTTTTGAGTGTTTTAAACACCTTTTTTTTAGCATTTTGAATGAAATCTTGAGGAAATTAGTTATATTAACATCATAATAAAATGGACATGATCACCCTAATTTAAATAAATAAAGGACAGATTTAATACAACTTTTTTCACAGCATTTAAAAATTTTGTGGCAAAGTACACATAACATGAACTTTTCCACGTAGCCATTTTTAAATGTGCACCTCTGTGGCCTTAAGCACGTTCAGGTTGTGCACCACTGTCACCGTCCACCTCGCCGCTCTCCGCTGTAGACCAGAAGCTCGACCCTTTGCACCCCCAGCCCTCCCAGCCCTGGGAGTCCACTGCCCTGCTTTCTGTCTCCCTCAGTTGCTCTCGGTCCCTCATGTAAGGGGAACCCTACCGTGTTTGTCCTCTTGTTAATGGCTGATTTCACTTCGTGTAATAGTGCCCTCAAGGGTCACCTGTGTACGTGTGTCAGCATGTCCTTTCTAAGGCCGCACAGTAGTCTATAGTATGTGTGTGCTACATTTTGTGTATCCAGCTCGTCCGTGATGGCTGTTTCGAGTGATGATGATATGCGTGAACATGGGTTTACAGATACCTCGACTCCCTGTGTTCGTTCTTTTGGAGATGGACCAGCAGTAGAATTGCTGGGTCCTGTGGTCATCTATTTTTAACCTTCGCAGGAACTTTCACGCTGTTTTTCTGTAGTAGTGGTGGGTTTGTTTTTTTGGGACAGTAGCCCTTCTGACGCTGTGAGATGGTAGCTCGTTTTCCTGTTGATGGCACATTTCCCTGTTGGTTAGTGACGTTGAGCATCTTCTCATGTGCTGATTGGCCGTTTGTGTGCTCTGCTCATCCTGAAGGGTTTTACTGCCGAGCTGTGTCACTTCCTTTGTCTGTTCTGGTGTGGTTCTCCTATGGGATGAACGGTCTATAAATATTGTTCTGCATTCTGTAGGTTGCCTTTTCACTGTTGGGTATTTTTTTCTTTTATCATCACCTGAAGGATATTTTCCCACTTATTTTCAGATAGAGTGGGAGGGAGGGAGAGAGAGAGAAGCATCGATGTGAGAGAGACACATCGACTGGCTGCCACCCACACGACCCCAAACGGGGCCGGGGACAAACTGCAACCGAGGTACGTGCCCTTAGCAGGAACTGAACCCCGGTCCCTCTGGTCCACAGGCCAATGCTCTAACCGCTGATCCAAACTGGCCAGAGCTCTGTTGTGTCTTTTGATGAAAGAAATTTTAAACTTTCTTGTCGTCCAGTTCATCTATTTTTCCTTCTGCTGCCTGTGCTATTGTCATATTCCAGAAGTCACTGCCGAACCCAGTGTCATGAGCTCCCGTTTTCTTCTGAGTGGTTCGTCGTTTTTATTTAGCCAGGTCTTTGACCTATTTTGAATCACTTTCTGTACATGGTGCGACATGCATTGGACATCACTTTTTCCACCGCTCTTTGTTGAAACGGTCCTTTTGTTCATTGAATGGTCTTCGCACCCTTGTCAGGAAGTCATTTGACTGTATGTGCAGGGTTGAGTTCTGGGCATTCCTACTTCCTCGGTCTGCGTGCCTGTTTCCTGTTGGGGTCGCGCTGTTCTGGTGGCTGCAGCTCCACAGTGCGTTTTCAGGTCAGGAACTGGGTGCACCTGCAGCTTCCTCTGCAGAGGTGGTTCAGGCCCTGGGGAATGTCTTGATTACATGTGACTTTTAGGAGGTGTTTTCTCTTTTGCCAAAAAGACCTTTGGGATCTGGATGGGCCCACGTCACATCTAGATCACTTCGAGCACGACCGCCCTTCCCTCGTGCCCAGGCCTCCGCCCGTGAGCGTGGGGTGTTTCCCGTCACTGTGTCCTCTTCTCCAGCAACGTTGTAGCTTTCAGTGGGGAGTCTCTGCCTCCTTGATTGAGTTTGTCCCTTATTCTTAATTACTTCATTCTCTTAGATCCTATTGCAAATATCATTGTTTCTTACTTTCTTTTTAGACTGTTCATTGTTATAAAAATGGCAACTGATTTTCCTGCATTAATTTTGTATCCTGCAACTTTGCTATATTAGTTCAGTTATTTTGTGGATTCTTTAGGGTTTTCTGCAAATAAGGTCATGTTTTCTGTAAACAGATAATTTTACTGTTTTCTCCATTAATTTTAATTTTTATTCAGAAGTTCTTAGTGAACAGGGTTGTGAGGCTGATGAGGAACAATTGTTTTGAAAGATTTTTTTTGCTTACATTTATTGTATATTTACACACAAAAATTCACTTTTATTACACAGTTGGGTAACTGTTGACAAAGGTGAGTGTACAGTCACCAACCTAATGGCAACGTTTCAGTCAGCGGTAGACCCCAGTGGGGCGGAATTTCCTGGGGAAACGGAAAGACGTGTTCAGGAGATTGTGTTTCTTTGATGAGTGGTTTCCTTGGGGCTGGGCAGCAGACTGGTCACTCACAGCACCTGCGTTTTGAGTGCACAGCTCATGTCCCATCGGTCACGACCAGCTAGTGTGCCCAGAGGAGCCTGTCCCCCCAGTGCTGCAGATTTGAGGGCGCGGCAGCCCCCAGATGCAGTGATGTGCTCGGAGCACATCACTGCACGGTCTCTGTGGGAAGCTGAGATCCTGCGCAAGGACACAGGTCCCCGGGAGTGACCGTGATGACATTGAGGCCACTGCCACGTCAGTGGAAGCTCTGTGGGTGTGGAGCCAGCCTGGCCTGTGCTGCGGGGACACTCCAGGCCGTCATGATGGGCAGCAGCTTCATTTCCATCCGTCCAGCCTTTGTACCAGGTGGGGTCTGTGCTGCAGGGACACTCCAGGCCGTCATGGTGGCAGCAGCTTCATTTCCATCCGTCCAGCCTTTGTACCAGGTGGGGTCTGTGCTGCGGGGACACTCCAGGCCGTCATGGTGGCAGCAGCTTCATTTCCATCCGTCCAGCCTTTGTACCAGGTGGGGTCTGTGGACCCAAAAACACATTTCCAAGTCAGCATATTGAGTCCTCAGTTTCACACCCTCTCCCTGCCAAGCACCCCCTTTTCCTTTGCTAAGTGCACACCACAGAGCTCCTTGACCAGGCAACAGCCAACCCCATGGCACAGCTGTCCCCTGCCCTCCACCTCTCCACCCGACCTCTGATCCCTGTGACCTGCAGGCCCCCACTTACTCCTGACGGGCACTGCTGTGGTGACCTGCACCGCACCCCGCTTCTCCTTGATATTCCCATCAGTCCAGCCCCATCCCTGTCCACGGATCAGCACTGACCACCTTCTCTTTCTGAACGTGGGCGCGAAGCAGGGGGAGGCTTGTGGGACAGTGTGCAGGAAGTCCACACACTCGCAGGGTCATGTCCCGGCCTCATACCGACACCCCACCCCAGGGCAGCAGGAGTCCCTTCCTCCCTCCGCAGCACACTTGTGCGGCTGCGTCTGAGCTGGGCACAGAAGGCCCCAGGCCCGGTTGCCTGCAGCACTCGGCTCAGTGACGTGCTGTGCAGGGTGTCCTCGGGGCAGCAGGTGCCCACGCCTGGGCGTGTGTGCGCCCTCTGATGTTCGCACACGATGAGATCACCTGACATACATGCTGCGAACATGTCCCATCACTGACGCCAGACTACATCCCCTTTACCTTCAGTTCTCCCCTCCTAGCTCCAGCCCGGGGCAGACAGAGTCGTCCCTGTTCCCACAGTGTTGCCCTTCTGGAATGTTGTAATAATTGAACCATATGCTGGAGGCTCAGATCTGGTTGCTTTTCATGCTTTTGAAACTCACCCATGTTTGGTGAGTACTAGCCTATTGACTGCATTTTTCTATTTGTGTATCTATTTGAAAGACTTGCTTTGAGTTTTAAGAAAGGCATCAAGAGAAATGCACCAGGTACCATTACCATAAGGTAGTAGTTTCAAGGAAAGCGTAATGTCTGATTGAGAGAATGGCTTTAGAACCTTGTGATGGCTGGGACGGCAGACAGAACCCTGCGGAGATGAGATGATGGGCCGGGATAGACGCGTGCACACTGCAGGCTGCAGAACAGTGCACGGATGACAAAGTCATGCATGTGTTTATATTAATGAAAACTCAGTAGGGCCTGATACTGTTTATAAAAGGATTTCCGGGGGTGGGCAAAAGTAAGGTTAGTGATGCTGATGATGATAATAGTGACAAGGACACTACTAGGTAAATAGAGAACGTGAGAATGACTGTTCAGTGTCCTCCCACGCTCTCACCTGCCCATCTCATGTCTGGTAGCAGAAGACTTGGAGCTCAAGGTCCCTCTTCAAGGCAGCAGACGTTCCTGTGCTCACTGGGCCTGCACATCTCGGGGCTTGGGGCTCGCAGGCACGAGCTGCTCTGGGCTGGCCTTCAGCAGCAGGGGCCTTTGAGGGCTCGTTAGGGCGCAAATGGTCGTCATTTGTAGACACAGTGTGATGTGTGCATTGGGGGGAGTTGCGAAGACGGATCAGGACGATTAGTTGGAGATGTGTTATAGGACTCAGGGGAATGGTGGGGATGTATCACAGTGCTCAGGGGGGATGAGTGGGGATGTGTCACAGTGCTCAGGGGGATGAGTGGGGATGAGTCACAGTACTCAGGGGGGATGAGTGGGGATGTATCACAGTGCTCAGGGGGATGAGTCACAGTGCTCAGGGGGATGAGTCACAGTGCTCGGGGGGATGAGTGGGGATGAGTCACAGTGCTCAGAGGGATGAGTGGGGATGAGTCACAGTGCTCAGGGGGATGAGTGGGGATGAGTCACAGTGCTCAGGGGGATGAGTGGGGATGAGCACAGTGCTCAGGGGGATGAGTGGGGATGAGTCACAGTGCTCAGGGGGATGAGTGGGGATGAGTCACAGTGCTCAGGGGGATGAGTGGGGATGAGTCACAGTGCTCAGGGGGATGAGTGGGGATGAGTCACAGTGCTCAGGGGCAGAGTGGGGATGAGTCACAGTGCTCAGGGGGATGAGTGGGGATGAGTCACAGTGCTCAGGGGGATGAGTGGGATGAGTCACAGGCTCAGGGGGATGAGTGGGGATGAGTCACAGTGCTCAGGGGGATGAGTGGGGATGAGTCACAGTGCTCAGGGGGATGAGTGGGGATGAGTCACAGTGCTCGGGGATAAGTGGGGATGAGTCACAGTGCTCAGGGGGATGAGTGGGGATGAGTCACAGTGCTCAGGGGGCAGAGTGGGGATGTGTCACAGTGCTCAGGGGGATGAGTGGGGATGAGTCACAGTGCTCAGGGGGATGAGTGGGGATGAGTCACAGTGCTCAGAGAGATGAGTGGGGATGAGTCACAGTGCTCAGGGGGATGAGTGGGGATGAGTCACAGTGCTCAGGGGGATGAGTGGGGATGAGTCACAGTGCTCAGGGGGATGAATGGGGATGAGTCAGTGCTCAGGGGGCAGAGTGGGGATGTGTCACAGTGCTCAGGGGGATGAGTGGGGATGAGTCACAGTGCTCAGGGGGCAGAGTGGGGATGAGTCACAGTGCTCAGGGGGATGAGTGGGGATGTGTCACAGTGCTCAGGGGGATGAGTGGGGATGAGTCACAGTGCTCAGGGGGCAGAGTGGGGATGTATCACAGTGCTCAGGGGGATGAGTGGGGATGTGTCACAGTGCTCAGGGGGATGAGTGGGGATATGTCACAGTGCTCAGGGGCAGAGTGGGGATGTGTCACAGTGCTCAGTGGGCATGAGTGAGGCCTACAGCAGAGAAATGACGTAAAATGGTTTTGATGAGACTAAGAGATCTGAAGTAGAATCGGCAGGATTTGGGAATTCCGGTTTATGAACTGATCATTGTATCATCATTACCACCGAATACAGAAGATAGAGCTGGTTTTAGGCGGTCTCAGAAAGCACATTAAGTTAGATGTTCTTGGGGTGACACAGGCATGGAGAGAAAGCAGAGATGAAGACGTTCATTTGGTGTCTATCAGAATCCTCACAGCTGATCGCAGGCAGGGGAGAGGGGAGGTGGGGGTGGGCTGTGCACCATGTGAAACAAGAGCGGAGCTGGGGGGTGGGAAAGGTCCCTTTAAATGGGGGTGCAGGTGATTTCCGTGTCCAGTGTCAGAGAGCTCCAGAGGCGGCAGCGTGGTTTTCGCTCCTCAGTGAAGAGGTGAGGTCGTTTGTTCAACGTGAAAGGAACAGTTTAGATATTAGGTTTTTGGTAGAAAGAAAACCTGCGAAGTAGTCGGAAGGGAAGGGGAACGAGCCAGGACCCAGGCCCGCTCGTCCTCAAGGTCTCTGATGGCGCTGGGCCTCCGGTCTGGTGAGCTGATCCTCAGTCAGAACCTCTGGAGCACGCACCTGCGCACAGTTCCCAGGGCTTGCTCATCACACAGCTGGGCTGGTCTTATAAGGGGTTGTTTTAGAGATTTTGATGAAAACCACCAGTGTCAAACATGTTTTTTCTTTTTCTTTTTAGATTTCTTGTTTTGTTTTTCCTAACTGTGTCATTTTTATGAAAGAAATTTAAAAGGCTGGAGTTAGTAGAGTGTACATTATTATTCATTTAAATTTGTATCTTTAAATAATTTAGTTTCTAGTCTGGGTCAAGTCCTTGTGTGACCACCACCACCACCACCATAGGTGATCTTTGGACCCATTTCTTATTATCATATTAACTTTTTAGTTCTGATTTCTCCTTTTTAGTAATAGAAACTAATTTTTTCCAGTATCTTAATCTCTGTGGTTAAGCAAAGGGTGGAGGAGTTTGTTTTCTTTTTTTATCCTCACCCGAGGACATATTTTTTTCCAACTTTTGTACAGATAGAGTGGGAGGGAGAGAAAGGGAGAGAAACATCGACGTGAAAGGGACATATCGAGTGGCTGCCACCCGCACGACCAACCAAGGCCGGGGACAAACTGCAACCGAGGTACGTGCCCTTAGCGGGAACCGAACCCGGGTCTCACCGGACCGCAGGCCGACGCTCCAACCGCTGAGCCAAACCGGCCAGGGCTGGAGGAGTTTGTTTTCTATGTATCCTGCAGAGTCTGAATAAAGCAGATTGTGTGGCCTGCTAGTGGCCCAGGTGGGTCCGAGCATAAAGCAGCTGCGGCTGAGCGGTGGCTGGTCTGTCCGGGCAGCACCTGCAGCACAGCCGCCTTCCCGGCGCTGGGCCCTGCAGCTCTCAGGCGGGCTATTTGCTGGGAATATCTGATTAGAGCAGGTGGGTCTTCTGCCTGAACAGAGCTCGTTTTCCAGAAACGATGTCATGATCTGTCGACTTTTCTGGGTTGGGTACGCTTTATTTTTTAATATTTTTATTTTTTTCTTCATTGATTTTAGAGGGAGGGAGATAGAAACATGGATGAGAGAGAACATCAATTGGCTGCCTCCTGCATGCTGCCCATGGGGGATCGGGCCCACAACCTGGACATGTGCCCTGCCCGGGAATCGATGCGGCGACTTCTTGGTGCAGGGTTGACGCTCAGCCACTGAGCCACACTGGGGCTGCACATGGGTTGGGTGCACTTTCATTAACTTGATTGTGTTCAAGTGCTAATTAGTGCCATATCTTCATTTGATAGTAACTCTTGGAGGATAGTTTATTTACTTTTTTATTTCTGACATTTCAGTTGCAGAAGAACGGTCTGAGGAAAAATGGTATTTTGAAAAATGGCCTGATCTGTGACTTCAAGTTTGGACCCTGGAAAAACAGCCCTTTCCAGCCCGCTCTCGAGGACGACGACTCGGAGACCAGCAGCAGCGACACCTCGGACGATGACGACGTGTGAGCGCCTGCTGCGGGCCGCGTGCACGCCGCGGGTGAGCCGCTGAGCGCAGGGCTGCCTTCGCGTGGGGAGAGGCCCGCTAGAAGATTTTGGGGACTTCAGTATGAAGAAAACCAAGGATGTTGTGTTGGGCTGTGTTGAACATTACTTCTTTGTACGTGAATGTTGTAGAAGTGAGGACCTGGGTTGGCCCAGCCTTGACTCTTCATCACTGCAGCATCTCTGACTAGCAATGTGACGGTGTAACGATGAGACTCCTCATTTAATAATAAAACTCGTGTAATGTTTTGCAAAGCTTCTGTCTTAAAATGTCCAGGTCTTAAGAACAAAGGCAGCTTACACTGTTTTGCTTGCAGAGTCCTATCTTTTCCGTACAGTGGAAACCCTCGAGTCCACTCTGTGCGCCCCCGACCCCCAAAAGGACAATGTAGCATGTTGGCTAAAACTGGAGCAAAGTGCACTAAAACATTAATGTCCTGAGCTCACCTGTTGTACTAGCCACCTTGGAAAACATGAATCGCTCTTTAGCCATTCTTAGTTCCGTAACTATTCCCCAAAAGACTTGCCACACTTTCTTCCAAATTTTAAGAGGCGATTTTCAGAGCTTTATTTGGGTGTGTTGTCAGACCAGGATTTTCAGAGCTGATGGAAAAGAGTTGTTGTGGGAAAACTTATTTTGATAAATTATTACACGTGCAGAAAAACTGATCACACTGACTGGATCTGTCCACAACATGGAAATAAACTGGATTTTCAGAACGTTGTCGTTCTCTGTAGTGTTCGAGGTATTGTCTCAGCACAGTGCGCTTGGTTCGCCCACCAGTTCCGCTCGCTCAAGGGCACCACCGCTCTGAGCTCAGGGAAAGAGCTGGAGAGCCGAGTCCCGACCAGGCCTCACCACGCTCCCCGGACCAGCGGAGGCCGGACAGCCGCTCTGGCTCCACTCGCACAGACTCGGAGCCTTCTGTCTCGCTGATGGAAGAGCACGTGGGTGTGTGTTCCGCTGGCCCCCCTTGGCGTTGCCTGCCTTCTCACTCCGTGCGTAGTATGTCCTGATTGTGAAGGGCATCCTCTTGCAGCAGGGCGCTGAGGTTCTGTCCGATCAGCTCATCCTCAGAGCTTGCTTTCTGATTGTGTCCTCAGAATACTTCTGTGTTTTTGCTGTTTCCTCCTCAGGATCCTGCCGAGACTCCCTAGTTTTTACCAGGAGCCAGACTGACTGGTTCACACTGAGCAGTGGTGATGGGGAATTAAAATAACCCAGTTTCACCCGTGAAACTTAGGAGGATGTGTTAGAATTTAGCATTAAATGCCCCTTGAAGTTATTTTTAAAAAGAGGCCTGTGCCTGCCAGCCCAGTGCCCGGTGCATTGGCACGGGCGTGTGCCCTCTGGGCCCGCCGCTGCACCGCGGCCAGCTCGGGCTGAGGTCTGTGGCTCCACAGCTGAAGTCTGCCTGCTGTGTTTTCTGAAGAGTTCTCAGAAAATGTGTGATTCTTTATTTCTGGCGTTTTCTGTCTTAAATTCAGGTGATTTTTGCCTTAGTTCCCATTCCTCAGCAGTCCATAAAGTGCATTCATTGTGCCTGTGATGGGGGGTGTGGGCAGGTGTGGACAGCCACGGTGTGTCTGTTCTGGTGATTCTCCATGTTGAAGGGTGGCGTGGAGCTCGCTTACAGAGGGGCGGGCTGGACACGTTTCCATAGAACCATTGAAGCGCCCCATAGCTTCAACGGGCTGTCTAAACAGCGCACAGCTGGTGAGAGTTTGGATCAGGTTGTCTGAAAGGAAGCCCACAGGTAGAGACGAGTTCGGTGGACATGTGGCACTAGGCCACGGAGGTCTAGGGCAAACGTGGTCCTGGCTGCTGTACATTGAGTTGTGTTGCTGTAAACTGTTTTTTTTAAATTCTCACCTGAGGATATTTCTTCATGTATTTCCAGATAGTGTGGGAAGGGGAAAAAGAGAGAAACATCCATGTGAGAGGGACACATTGACTGGTTGCCACCTGCATGACCCCAACCGGGGCCGGGGACGAGCCGCAGCCGAGGTACATGCCCTTGGCCGGAATTGAACCCAGGACTCTGGTCCAAAGGCTGACGCTCCAACTGCTGAGCCACACTGGTCAGGCTGTTGCTGCAGACATTTTTTTTTTAACCACTTTATTGATAAACAGTCGGCCCTTGTTTATCGCGGTTAATCAGCTCCAGACTCTACCGCGATACATGAATTTCTGCGAGGTAGGATTCTTTATATATAAATCGAATAGTTTTGCATTTAGAGCATAGAAAACCTGTGTACGACCTTCTAAATACGTTTTTTAACATTATTAGAGCCCTCTAGACATGAAATAACTCTAGTCACCATTACACTCGTATTACCCAATATAGTAGACAAAATAAGAAAATGTTACAAATGTATTGTACATTTAATTACACACACACAGTTCTTACAACCACTAAGCTATGAAAATAGTGCAACTTGTTCGATGATGACGCGATGAAGATGAAGAGATGTCCTGCACAGCAGAGAAGAGCAAGGTCACTGCTCCTCTGCAGGCTCGACCTCAGCAGGGGAGTCTGCAGGTGGGGCAGTGTCTACAGCAGGTGCGTCGTCTCCCGCTGAAGGAGCACTGGGAACAGGCAGTGGGTGTCTGGGTGCAGCTGAAGAACATGGTGACAGGCGATTGCTGGCGCTGTCTTTTCATGTGCGTGAGGAGGTTTTGTAGGGTTCTATCACCCCATCAAGTGCATTCTGGAACCGCAATGCACGCATCATTTGTGGGTCCCATTCGCCAGTCATGTCCTGTACCTTAATAGTTCTCACGACTTGCAAGAGACACGCAAGTGTAAAGCCAGCTTCCTCCTCCTGACCCCCAGGACCCTCTCTGGCTGCTCTTCCTCCCCCCCACTCGCAGACAGTCATCTCCACCAGATCCTCGTCAGTGAAGGGATCCTGTTCCGGATGATACTCGCCCTCCTCAAGGATCGTCTGGAACGTGTTCACGTGGTCCTCTGCCACAGGCTGGTCAGCAGAGGCAGCTTCTCCGTGGAGAACGACACTCTAGATGACACCTCTTCTGGAACTTTTCAAACCAACCCTTGCTCGCTGTGAAATCCAAGAAGGTTGCAGAAGAAGGTCCTGGTTGAGGTTCATCGCCGTAAAGCGCTGATAGCTGCCTCGCCTTCTCCCGATGACCAGCAAATCCACGGAATGTTTTTCTTGTCGCTGATCCAAACGCCTAGGGCAGACTCCTTTTTCACTATGAACTTACTACGACTTGTCACGACACACTTTGCCTCCTTGTGGAGAGACAGTAGCCGTTGCACGGATGTTCTTTTCATCTTCACGGATGGAGTGGACGGTAGACTCAGTGAAGTCGGAATGGCGGGCAACCTCCACGATTCTCTTGCCATCTTTGATCATATCCAAGAGTTCCACCTTCTCCTGGATGGTGAGCATCTTCCTCCGGCACTTAGTTTCATCGTCAGGAGGCTCAGCGGAAGCAGCACGTTTAGGAGCCATCGTGGGGCTTAGATCAAAGTTCTCAGAAATCGCACACACGAACAAAGATGCTTCTGATGAGTAGCGATGTGGAACCGTGTATGAGAGACTCGAACTTGCACCAGGCTGAGCCAATCAGTGGCCAGGATAGGAAGAGGCTAGGATAGCCAATCAGTGAACAGCACGCTCTGATTGGCTTGGTCACCACACCTGATGTTTTGAAAAAAAGTTACTGCCCACACACACAAGGAATGGGTCCAGCGGTTGCACCTGGTGTTGAAGGATTTGCAGGGGTGCTCGAATACATAGGCCTACAGGCCACACGTACAGTAATTTTAATTGTAATACAGGGTGTATAATTGACTCAGATAACCGGACGCATGCTGTATCATTTTCACTGTCTCCATCAACTTTTTAATATAGTTAAAAAACCTGCGATAGGTTGAAGGGCGAAGTGGCGAGGGACCACTGTATAGATTGACCTAGCTGCACGTTCAGAGCGTATGATTCGATCAGCTTCGACCAGTGAAGGTAGGGAGCATGTTGGTCACCCCAGAAAGGTTCCTGGGTCCCTCCGTGGTCTCCTACTGCTCCCCCCCTTTCCCCAGCACTTGTGTGTTTCGTGTGGGATGTGCGAGCAAAGTTCTTGGGGTGCTCGGTGTAAAATAGCACTTCAGGAATTTTATATTAACATGAGGATTAGAAGAGTTTTTGTTTTCACATATTTCTACTGGAGGTGAAATAAATACAGAAGTGTCAACTTAAAAAATAATTAGATTGATGTGATGACATCAGATTTATACGAGCCGCTAAAGCTAAGTATGTTGAAGGGCCTGGAACCTGAACAAGCATGTTTTAGTGCTTGTCATAGTGTTCACGTGCGTGGTTAGACTTGGAGTGTGGTTGTCTGAAGTGTAGTCACCGAGGGGCCCCCAGTGTAATGAAGGAACCTCACGGTCAGATTCAACTCCTGCTGCACAGTCGGTGCTCACAGCTTGTAGCGGTGCTGGCGGCAGACTTCAGGCACCTGCCTTGAGAAAGGCCCACGCGCGTGCACGTCTTCCTCTAAGGCGGTTTCCACTTGGCTTCCGTGATGCACTTAGTGATTATTTACCCTCGGCTGGTGGACAGAAGGCCGCTCGCGGGGCCGGGCGCTGCGCCCCTCCTGAACCGGCGTGTTGGGGGGGGGGGGGCGGTTCTCCAGCGAGATCCCCGCAGCTGGCTGCGCAGAAAGGCTGTCGGCCGGACCTGGCCCCGGTGCCGGTGCCGCGAGGACCCGCCTGCTGGGGCTGCGGCGGAGCTGGGCCATCGCTGGGCCATCGCTGGGCCATCGCTGGGCCATCCCTGGGCCATCCCTGGGCCATCCCTGGGCCATCCCTGGGCCATCCCTGGGCCATCCCTGCTTCGCGCTCGGAAGGCCCGGGGGGCCGAGCTCAGGAGCGCGCAGCCGGCCTTGCAGGGGCTGCGGCCTGGGCTTCTCTGCTCTACCTGCGCCCACGAGTGAGCGGCCCTGCGAGTCACGGCACACACCTAAGGTGCTGTTTGTGGAGACCCGGCCTGGTGCCTGGCTGCACTCTCGGGCGTGGGGTGTGCTGGGAGGACAAGCCCTTGTCCGTGAGCCCTTCCCGTGGCTCCCGAGCTGGGCGGCCCTGGGCCCCAGCCGGGCTCCGACCACGCAGCCTCTCGGGCCGGCCCGGCCTCGCGCAGTGTGGGGGCCGTGAGCGTCCTGGGCCCGAGGGCTTTCGGGGTGCCCCTGTCACTGCCGCCGGGCACTCGGGGCGACCCCCGGCGGCGCCCCCACTCCGGTCCTGGGCGCACTGCTCAGAGGCGAGCTCAGCTTCAGGACGCGACCCTCGGCCAGCGGTGCTGCGGCCGCGGGGCTGGGGTGGGTCCCGTCCTCGCGGACTGATCCGGGTCTACGCTGGCCCGCCTGCGGCACCGAACCCGGCACCGAACCCTCCCGGCCGCGGGGCTGGGGTGGGTCCCGTCCTCGCGGACTGATCCGGGTCTACGCTGGCCTGCCTGCGGCACCGAACCCGGCACCGAACCCTCCCGGCCGCGGGGCGCTGCACGTGCTGCCTTCGCTGTTCCCCTCGGGTGTGCCCCGGGCCGGGCGGAGCAGTGGCGGGGGCAGCGCCTGGCCTGGTGGGCCCCGCAGCTCCGAGGCCTGGTGCCCGCGCTTGGCCTGGGCGCGAGTCTGCCCTCCTGTCCCTCTCAGTGTGTGAAT